CAATTTTTCGTTTTTTTTCCTCTTACCCTCCAACTAAAATTTCTCTCACATCATCCACGNCCTCCCCCTCCCCCACCCTTTCTCTCTTGTGTTTCTACCTCTATATATTTATGTGTGTGTGAGAAATAAGAAAAAAAATGTTTTTGTCAAAAGATAATTAGTAGGTTGCATTTAAGACACGTTTTAGCTTGTGAAAAAGACCTATGAAGAAAAATAAATATTATGTCAAAAATTATTTTTACGTTCTACTTTTTCAGTCCCCCCTCCCCGATAATCATCCAAGTCGATTGGAGCGAAGTGATCCGGAGTCCTTCTCATCAATTAAGGATTGATGAGGTGTCAGTGTGAAGGAGTGTTGGCACTGGGTACAAGAGACTCAAATGGCAAATTTTGCATATATGTCAAATGAATGTAATAAAAAATGTAAAAAAAAAGTTTCCAGTTTTGATGGCAATTATGAAGTACTTTATCAAAAGAAGCTCAGGAGAAGAGCCTCTTTCGACCCCCTAATAAATTAAATAAAACAGTTAAATAAAAGGGATCGATGCAGTTGGGAAGAAGGTTGTGCTGGCATGGGATCCCGACCACATAGGGATAGCCGGGCAAGAAGAAACAGACTGGGAGGCCAAAGAAGCCGCCGGCAGAATTCCAAATTCAGTAAAAAGAGAATTGAAAAACCGCTGGGCTCGTAGAAATAGAAATAACTGTGTCTGGTTAAGAAAGACGTCGGTTCATGGTCCATGGAAAACGGTTCGAAAAGCGAAAAGGCCATGCAGACTACTACTACAAGACTACGCATAGGTCATACAAGAACTCATGGGCTCGCTTCTTGCCGGAAAGTGACAGCGTAGGGCCCGTTTGTCATATCGTCGGACCAGTCTTGGGGCACGGCAGTAGGCACAGTTTGCTGTTCCGGTACTTCACGGCTGTAGCGATTTTTAAATGTATATAGTGTTTTTTATGTGAGTTTGTGTTGTGTCTGTGTTGATTTTATGTTAATTTATTGGAATGAACGTAATTTATTAGCGTGAAAGGAAGGGGTTATTTAACCCAGCCCCGAGGAATATCCAGTACTCTGGGGTGAGTGTGTGACGTCTGGAGAGTAAATAAGCTATTAGAGAGAGTGGAGTGGGTTCAAACCCGCCCCTAGGAATATCGAGTACTCTAGAGGAGTGAATGTGACATCTATGTCTATGGTGATGTATATGTGTATTGCATGTTTTGTTTCTATTGATGACACCAGCTGTTTGCCGACCTATAAACTTCCCACTTAATATATATTTATCGAAAGAAGAATTGTAAAATCGACATAAGAAAAGTTTACAAAGTTGTTGACAGTGTAATAATTGCTATTCAACTTCATCAGAGCGTAGTATAATTTGGAATATACACATTTAGTTAAATATTATAATCTACCCTTCATCATAATTTGCGATCTTTTCTTGATGATACGCAAATTTAATACAATGCACATTAAAAACTTCTGCCCCTGGTGATTTATTTTTATGACGTGACCGTCAATCGTAATTTAGCCGGTCGGGACTTCGTGACAGAGCATAGTTTAATAAATTACAGTGTTGGGCAGTGACCGTCACTCAAAAAAGCAAATGAATGAAATAATCAACAGGACTGGAAGAAGGACGGACAACGTTGATAACTCATCCGCTTTGATTTATCAAGATTCGTCTGTTACAAAGCGAATGTAGAGTTTTTTTGGCACATAAGGGGATGCGACATGTGCTTTGTTTTTGGCTGGTATTGCAAAACGTTCAAAAACCCAGTTTGGAAATGATCACAACCTGCTTTCTCCTATTGGCACATTTTCTTTCGTATCGTTCTTTATAAGTGAACGATTCAATTGGAAAATAACTAATTGATTATCCGTTTTTCACGCGTTTCACTTACCAATATAATTATGCAAAACCTTGTTGATCACAGTTGTCAAATCTTTACAAAACATAAAGATTGTCATAGTATTGGCAATTGCCAGTTTCTAAAATGTTCTTCCAAAGCAATATAAATCGCAAATTTAAAAAGGATTGTTGCTGAGAGTTTCGCGAAAACGTGCTTCTTTGTTATACTTGTCATTGAAAATGTGAAAATTGAAATGTTATTAATAACATTCAGCATTTCCTTATTGAATTTTAACCTGATGGATTGAGGATGTTAAAATGATGACCACGTTACCTTCTGGCAGACTTATCTGTATTGTAATCTCTCAACTATTTCTAAATTCTGAACTAATGTGTAATCTAAAATATGCGATAAAAGACTTTCTTGTTAAAAAATTTCATTGACTAACCTGCTAGTGATGGATTTAGAAATTGTAATTACAATCAAAGGTCAATAAGTTCAGATTCTCCTTATTAATTATCATTCTGTGCAATAATTATTTTTTAATCATTACAATTTACAGTGGCACAGAAGAAAGGCTTAATGTCCAATCCGTTTTGCCTTAGATGTAAATAAAATAAAAAAAATGCAGTGTTAAAATTATACATTTGGGCAATTTGTCATGTTTATAAAGTATTCTTTGAAAATCAATTTGAATTAGATAAATCCTGCAATTGTCCGCAGGGTGTCAAGGTTGGTTAGAAGGAAAAGCGTCCATCTTCACCTTTCTTATACGTAGTTCAGACGTCTCAGATCATCAAAGTCTAGCTTGTTTTGTCTGTCGACACGTTTCGCCAATTCGTCATCTTCAGTGGTTGTCACTTTCTTGCAGTAATGCTAACTTATTTTCACTTGAGTCTTTGACTGTACTTGACAGCGGAAGGCCGAAGTACGAAGTGTCTTCGAAAGCTGACGTGCACGTGGTTCAGTGAACAAAATCGGCTCACTTTTTGCTGATTGAACTTAGCAATTCCAACATAGAAATCATATTCATTTTACTATCTTACAGTGAGGATTGAAATACTTCTTAAGGCGAAAGGATCATTAATGGAAGGAAAAATGACGCAGTAGGTCAGAAAATTTGTCCTGAGATCTGGATGAGCCCTATTGTCTAAACATATATGAATCACAGTTAATTATGTATCACGACAATCACATTTTTTTGTACCTCAACATACTTACATTTAAGAAACGAAATTTGCATATCGTAATCAAACAATAACAGGCAATATATATATATANTAAAGCGCAAAAACTGTGCTTTTTAATAAATTTTAAATAAATTAAATGTGTTTATACAACTTACCTAAAAGTAAAAGTAAAGTCAGATCATTTCAGTCTACCCTAGCTATTATAATCTACGACGTCTTTCGGCTTTTCTTCATCGTCAGTGGTGGATTTGTGTCGGTGAATCACACTGCTAATATCCCTGACTATTGATAGGCACACCAAAATTTATTATACCTTTATCTGACTTTTCTCTCTCTCTCTCTCTCTCGCTCTCTCTCTTTCATTTTCTCTCCCTATCAACCCCTTTCCCCCTCACTCAAACTCTCTCACTCGCTCTCTCTCTTTCTCACACACACACGCACTTTGTCTCACGTTCACCCACCCTCTCACTCTTTGTACTGTAAAATTAAATAAATTGATTACACAGACAGTTGGAATTCAATAATAACGTGATTTTTGAATAACATCTTCAGTCATCTTAACATTAAAATAGATTGGGGATAAATTTGATAACGAATTTGTATTATATTCAGGATTTAAAAATGGTCAGTGAGAAATTTCCATTCGACGATCATAAAATAATAAACACACGAAAGTATTACTTTTATAAATCCCCCGCCTGTTTTCGGCAAATGCTTAAATTCTAATAAGCTCTTCTAAAAAACGGTCAATTTTGACTTGTGAATCAAGTACCAATAATGAGTAGCTCAAATATTTTTTTAAACACATATCACAATACAATTAGAAAATCTGTTTTTTCCCATTGAGCATGACTCAAGATTGCACCTGGTTTTTTTTTTACAAAACTCACTTACAAATTTTAAGTATTCTCATAAAAACTATAATTCAGAGGTGTATTATCGATTCATTTAATTATTTTGTAAGTAGATTTTAATTTACCATTTTTTTCTTGAATTCCGTCGTAATCTCCTTTGTAGTAGACAATTTATAATTAAATAGATTTTAGTATAATTGTAAAACCCAGAAGTAAACTTAACAGGTTAAACACGATCCGAAATATGTAATTAATAACAAGAAACAACTTTATACTTTTCTTAAACCCTTTATTAGTTTTTATTTGTTTCTGGTCTAAAATTTAATAAATGACATACCTATATACGAAAGTTGAAGTTTCGATCCTGGGTCAAAATTATATCTTTAAATGTAAATTTCAGACATTGAAACACGTGTGAAGCAGAATAGGCGACCTCCCCCATAAGAAAGTTAATAAAGGCCCAGCACGCAGTAAACCCTGAACCATATTTACAACCCATTAACTGTTGGAATAAATCTAAAACGCGGTCCGCAAGTACTTTTACACTTCGACAGGGAAAAAACGTCTGCCAAGCGGTGGGAATATTGTCCTCACATATGTTGCATGGGCATGGGCATATGTTAATCCGTATGAAATAAAATTCATAGGGGATCATCTAGAAAGCAACCCGTATAATCTCTGAAAATTGCACAATAGTCCGAAAAATGGTTTCAGAGATATAGCTTTGTTAAGGATTTTATGTTTGACCATGCGCAGGCGATATGTTGATCCGATTTAATGAAATTCATAGGATACCATGCAGAAATCAACCCGCCTAATCTCGGAAAATTTCATAAAAATTGGTCCCACTGTGTTGGAGTTTTGCCGGTTACAATAAATTGACACAGACAGACACGGAACCAAATTTGTCCAGAAAGTTCTATAAGGCAAAATCCAAGTGGAAATTTTGATTTTGGAGGACAAGAATTTTTTTCGACTTCCCGCATGAATACAAGGCTTCCCTACCTTCGGTAGTTTGGAAGCAAAAATTAGCCGGGAAGAAAGGCAGAGTAGTGGGGCCCTTGCGGTGTGGGAAGCGCGGAGGGGGTAGGAGCCTTCAGGAGTTTTCAGTGTCTGTGAGGACTTGATCCTAAGCACAAGGTATCCTCTTCAGTGTCTCCAATCCTGTGTGTATTGGGATTGTATTCAGTGTGAGGAAAAAGCAGAAACGATATTCAAAAGTCTTGGAGGATTAGCGCCTGGATGGGGTCCAGCCCCAAAATGACGACCGGTGAGTGACATCAATGTCGTAGAAAAGTAGACGTAGACTTCGCGAGATCCGACGACGAGCCCCTTAAATTTTCATTATAATAAATCATTTCAATTTAATTATTTAGTCAAGTGATACTTTACCATTTGGGTTAAAAAACATAAAATCTAGCCGTCCGAAAAAAAGAAAAAATACGCTAAAGAAGTAATAAATTCGTAACAAGCATTAAATAAATCTTATTTTAAAAAAATAATACAGCAAGCAAAATCAAGCTTTAATATATAATCAAAATGGCCGAGAGTAAATATCAATCAACACCATCCCTAACTTTATAATAAACATACGTATGTTACATATATACAAATTTATAATATGCATATGTAAGAAAAACATTTGGCATATCAATATTAATTAAAATATAAAAACAATAATTATTAACAAATAGGAAAAAAGATTGAGATAAAATTAAAATTCTGTTGGTTAATTTAATTTCTGTCAAAAAAATACAACCCAGTTTCAAAATTCACACCCACCTACACCCCACATCGTAATCGCTTAAAATTATCGCCAAATTGTATTGTAGTTTGGAAAAAAATTAGATTATTTTTGAATTGGAGTATTACTAGGCATAATATTAGATTCATAGAAATATGTAGCCATATGGAATTTAACCGCGACTCAGATTCAACTGTCTCCTTCTTCCATCCTTTAAACTCGTTAAATTTTACATAATAATAAAAATTAATTTTAATTGAATGTATCCAAAACTTTTATTAACGAATTATTTATAAATACATCGCTAAAAATTAAGTTTTAATATTAAACACCACAGTTTAAAAAAATTTCTACTGAAAAATCCATTTTCTGCCAACAAAAAAAAAACTTAGTGTCAAAATTAGCACCTACTTTCCACCCCACACCGGAATAACGCAAATAATTATTTACGAATTAGATTATTTTACGGGAAAATATTAGATTCGTATAATTAACTCTATGGATTTTAATCGCGACCCAAGTTCATCTGGCTCCTTCCTCTATCGCTTAGGCCCGTTACAATTTATATTTAAATTTATTTTATTTGAATTTTTCCCGAATGTTAAATACAAAATTCTTTCTAAATACACAATCAAAAATTAATTTTTAATATTGAATATCGTGATTTTTTTTTAAATTGAAAAACTCTATTGCCAAATCCAGTTTTTGTAAAACATGGCAACCTAGTGTCAAAATTCACACCCACCACCACCCACACCATAATAACTTATAATAATATCTTTAAAAAATATTTTCAAATTACAGTATTATAAGGGAAAATATTAGTATTATACATTAAAAAAAATGGCCATGCGGAATTTATTCGCAACCCACGTATAGCTGTTCGTTTCTCCATCGCGTAAACTCGTTATCGTTTATATAATAATTTAAATTGTTGTTTTTAACTTTTCGCAAATTCTTGTTACCGAATTCTGTCGAAACACATAACCAAAACATAATTTTCAATACTGAACACCAGGTTAAAAAAACCTCTGCTGGCAAATTCAGTTTCTGTCGAAAAAGGCATGCTATAGTCAAAATTCATGCAAACCTCCAGTTCAAAATCACTTAAAATAAAATATAACAGACAATTTATTTTCAATTTATACTATTATAAGGGATAATTTTATATAACATTAAATATATAGAAAACCCTAGCGGGACTGGTCTCCACCTCCTCCTCATAAAATCTAGTATTTCGCCATTACAACATACAATTCAGTACGTTCCAATAAAACTAATTTCGTTATAAATTAACGCTTCATTAAACATCGCAACATTAAAATCTCCAAACATAAATATTATAATTATTTGATTAATTAACTCCTTGCTTCCTTTAAATTTTAATTTGACGCAAGATATAAATAAACTTACGAAAACCTTTCTCCACTAATTAATTCATGCTGTAATTATTTAGAAAAACTTGACGAATTTATAGAAAAATTATGATGAAGTTTTGCTATATGCATTTTGTCGTTATTGCATTACTATAAATAACGTGTATATAAATTCTTAACTTTGTACATATACATTTATTCGAAAAACGGTGAAAACAGTTCACTATGTCTATAAATATTTATATATTAATTTTGTATAATTCTAAACCTATAAAAACTGTTCTTAGATTATATATTTCGTCCAATTGACTCGAATAAGAAATTCAGGCTAATTGTAGTCCCCTCCTGTAACTATAAGCTGGAATTGTTTTGTTTCTTCTTTTTTTTATAAATAAATGAATGTCGTTATACATGATGATGCTCTCTACAGTCTGTTGATCCTTATTTGATCCGTCATCATCATCATCTTTTTGCTGTGGATCTGATTAGCTTCTTAAATATAGTTATAATTTTAAACTGGGATTGGTTTATTCGAATTAACGGAATACAATGCGAATTGTCATTTTTGGTCTTTATAACGTAAATTTTCATTTTAAACAGTTCAAATTTAATCGGGAAATGTTTTACGTTGATAATCACTTATTCAAATTTGATTGCGTCCCCTACCTCTTAAGTACTATTTTTTTATAATTCGAATAAAAGTATATGAATTTCATAATTTAAAATAAAATTATATACAAAATAAATTTAATTTTTTATATAATATTTTGGTCTAAATCATCAGTCTAAGGGACTAGGTCAAGTGATAATTTTTGAATTTGAAAAGAAAATACTTTTTTTTTTAAAACGTATAGTCCCATTTCTTGTTAATATTCGCTGGACTCAAGTTACATTACAAATGATAATCGCACACATTATTCAATTTTTTGTGGTAATATCTCATCAAAGATATTTTCTTTTTTTGTTTTCCTCACCGCGAAAGAGTAAAAGCTAGTATCTGGAATAAATTGAAAGTTAGGTACGTTAAATGATGTCACTGTGAAATGCCAGACAGTGATCAAGATTGTTTGAATTGAACATAGTTTCATGACATATATTTGTTGTTCCAAGTTCATTTTATACCAATCAATTATTCTTTTTATCTAAGGTTTTTGGTTGAAAAAACTTAAAGGTATAATTTATATGGTCGGTTATGACCGCTAATCAAATATAGATTAATTTATTTTTATATTTCAACTTATTCGCTTTTATTGCACGACATTAACTAAAAGTAATGTGGTGAAATTATAGTTAAAGGATAGGATAGTTTATATTTTATACGTTGATTATATGTTTCATGCAATCATTTTCAAGGGGTAATTAATATGATCAGTTATGACCACTAAACAAATATGGATAACTTTATTTTTATATTTCAACTTCTTCACTTTTACTGCTCGACATTAGTCAGAAGTAATGTGATTAAAATATAGTTAAAGGATAGGATAGTTTATATTTTATATGTTGATTATATGTTTCATGCAATAGGGTAGTTTTATATTTATTTTTTTACGGCCGTAAAAATCCAAACCGGTACATGATAACAATTAAAATTAAAATATACCAAAACGGTCTTGTAATTAGTAATTACTTCTCCTCATAAAGAACACGTGATTTAAGACTTTTGAGAACTTTTCCCGTCGTTTCGGTCAGCCATCGTGACCGGAGTGCTATAAAGTAAATGCTATTTATATTTTCTTTTCCCAGCGTTCGTCAGATTCTCGCGAATTCTTTAATTATCCGCGAGTATAATGCCCGTATATTCCGTTAGGAAATCTTTTATTTCCCATGCCTTTTACTGCGTTTAATGAACGTCTAGGCCGAATAGGAAATCAGTTTCGTGCGTGGCCTTCCCAAATTTTGAGACCCGGATACGTCTGATATGACTTGTGATTCCGATTCTCGAACCTACACACGTGCAAAAACATTTCCTGTGATCATTCCTACTTATTTCATTCAATTTTTTTCATTACTAGAATAGAACAAAACATGGAAATTTAAAAAAGAGTCCGTACCAGTGCGATAAAAAAATGCATCTTGCACTTAGCCAAACGGAAAATATTAATTTTAAATTTTTTTAGTTAACGTAAACATTTGTCATCATAGGAACAAAACGGTATATAACCCGAGAACTAACACATAAAAATTACTGATGAAGTATGGCGAAATAAAAGTAAAAGTGTACCGTACTGAATTACACAGTTCAGTATTTATAATTAAATTTATAGCTCCACTTGACAAGAATCATTCATAAAAGGGTACGCCTGTGAACGAAAGTAAAATTAACCAAAGTTTAGAAGGTAGTCAGGGGTGCTAAATCTTCTTGGAAATGCCTGTTACAAAATGAACGGAGATTTATTGCCTTCTCAGGTCTCCTCAAGCCTTTCTATCCTTTCAGGGCTCGATGATGACGAGAAACATTGAAAAACGATCGAACAAAAAGAGATAATGTTTAAAAATAATCTGGTCTTGTTTATGGGTGTGTGTTGCTGTTGTTATAGTTGAGCAATATTTGAAAATAATCAATCAAAACACAATCAATCCATGTCAAACGATACCGAATAGAACGAACACTATAAGTATCTCCAGCTAAGTAGGTAGTCAAAGGTGCTTAATTTTCTAGGGCTCCGGTCCCACAAGCACTTATGCCCATTTATAATTTGATATGACAAGAAATAAGAATACAAAGGTTTTTTAAAATAATCAGTAATGATGGTTAAATATTTAAATGTCTGAAAATATTGCTGATATTTACTATACAGTTGGTTTACTAAATTAAGTAACTTGGATGAGTTATATTTGAAAGGGTCCATTCATATTACGATACTGATTACAAATAAAAGAAAATATAAGTATCCAAAACTAAGTAGTTAGTCTAAAGAGATTAAATTTTCTTGGAAGCTTTGGTTAAGCAATAACAAAATATTTATTACTTTCACAGGCCCCCTCAAGCCTTTTAGCTTTTTAATAATTCGATGATGGCAGGAAATATTGAAAGAAGAACGAACACGAATAGAAAGAATATTAAAATAATGAAATTCAATTTTATGTGAAAATTTTTTTTATTGATTTTTTGTGCTGTACTGGAAAGAAAACATCATTATAAAACAA